TTTAACGGACACATTTCGTCGCATTAATTTCACCATACTCGTGTAACATCGTTGAAACTTGCGAAAGCATCAGGAAAATGGTGCGCAAGATTAAGTCGATAAATGACTTAAATGTGAAAGAAGCTCAACGATAATAATATATTATTTCACTCAAAATATATGTATTTATTTAATTTAAAAGAATTTAATAAAAGCTAACTTCAAATCCTTACATTTGTGAATACTTAAAATATTTTATATGTAATTGAATAATAAGTAGTATAAGCTAAAGAGAGATAATTTTGGGAAAAATAATGAGATATGTTTATAAAACATTATATTTCAGATTGATATTGATTTTGTATTTGAATTTTCATAAAATTTTCTAACCAGAATAATTTCTTTAACAATCAAACTGATTTTGAATCTCGCTATTAAAATAAATAATATTTTTATTATAACGCCATTTCGCGCGTCTCTATGACAAAAAGTCATTCCCTTTTACCTTTCCGTTTATTGTCGCTCTTTTCTAAAGGTACTGATGATTGATCTTTCAGTGCAGGCTCATTGTCAATATCACTACACATTACACAAGTCTTGCGGAAAATTAGAATCTTTATTGGTCAGCGATCTATTTTCAGATGTAACGTCGTAACTTTGTACGATGTACATGAGCAGTAGTAATTGCGTTATCTAAGAAAATGAGAACTCAGTTTTTATAGGTTCGTAAAATCCTTTGTTGCATTTTAGATGTTTGTATACGCGTGTATCTCTTTATATAAAATATCAATTGAATAACCTTTGCCGGCGTATAAGGTAGGCTTCCACTACACTGCCTTACTGATGAGTCCAGTAGTGGAAGCTGAGACGAAACGCCACAATTATGTAATATTCTTCGCAATATATTAAAAATTAATTTAATGGGATTTTTAACGTAGGTTATTGGCTCATTACCCTCTTTCTCTATATTAATTATTTGTTTTAATTATAATATTAATAACAAAAATTCCAACAAATTCTTCTTTAAGCCTGATCAAGAGAAAGATACAGATCTTCTATTGCTTATGAATGGAAATGACAATGTACCGATAGGTAAGAAAAAAAAACTTTTTTTTCTCCACAGATAGTAATATCGTGCCAAAATAAAAAAGTATTATTTTACATGAATTTCAATTGATTACACAGATTCGAAATGATAGAGATTCTAATAGTATTCGCCAATGAAGGTGGATTCAAAATTCTGCATGTAGAACCGGTCACAATAAGATCAACCAAACAACCAATTATAGATATAGAAGGTGAGACAAAGATTTTTGTTGTATGGGCAATTGTGTCAAAGTGAAAATGTTTCATAATATAATGTCAATTTTTTTTTATGCTGGTTATGTAAATTTTCTAATCAGTTAATAGATCTGATCAGAGATATTAAAGACTTTATGACTGAAAAATCACATACATTATTACCTCTTAATGAATCGAAGGAAATAGCAAACGGTAAGAGAAAGATTTTTTGCTATAAAGAAATATCACGCCAAGTAAAAATATTACTTCATTAGAATGTTGATTTTTTATGCAGATAATTTGGATTTGAGCAGAGAGCTGATAATCTCATTCAATCGATCGTATTAGAAAGAATTGAGACATTTCAGAAACCTGAAGATACAGTATCGTCAAGTCTCAGTAATAAATTATTAAAGTTTCAATTGTTTGCTTATCGATGGATCCTTAAAATATGCGTTCAGAATATCGAGATAGAACATTACAAGGAAATTTACCAGGAAACTCTCTCTCTACAGGAAGGTCAGTCTTCATTGCCTATGGAAAATCATGACAATAGACAGACAGGTAAAAGAATGATTTTTTGCCGTAAAAAATGGGATATTGCACCGAAATAAAAATATTATCTTGATAAGTTTTAATCTTGATTTTTTATATAGATCAGTTAGTGATGCACGCAATATTCGAGACGTCAAGATTCTTGTCTTGTCTTGTCTCGAAATCAAGACTACACGATATCAAGACAATATTGATTTAATAAATTTCGATACATGACAATATTACTTTTCCAAGATCAATATTCTCGGCTCAAGAATATCGAAAATATCGAATATCAAATAAATAAATATATTGGAAATATATCAATTAATAGATAACATCTAATAGAAAATATAGAAATAATTTTAATTAGGTTTAGTGGCTTATTCATACTTATATAAATGAATATAAGTGTTTTCACTGATATATGGAGTATTACTATTTTATATTATAATCTATATTGTCTATTTATTATAATAATCTATTAGGTGTACAAAAAAAGTTCTGAGTTTTAGATTTCATACAACCGAAATGACAATTTAAATTTTATATATCATCCCGCCTTTTTGCGGTTTTAAAGCGTTAACATTTGGTCTTTTAAAATGCCATACGGTTTGACGTTTGATGCACATCAGTTTCGAAGAACCGCTCGACCGAGACGGACACGTCTCGGTTCGGGTGCTTTCTATTTTATATTTTTGAAAGTGTTGCCGACTTCGACTGAGCAATTGAATCATTGAATCACAAGGATGGGTGTCCGCGGATGGGCTCGTCTCGATTGTTCGGCGTTTCCAGTGTTGCCACATTTAAAAATGGAATATCCCGAAATTTTATCCCTACGCGTTCAAAAAATCCCTCAACCACAAATCTATATAACGACCTTCTTTTTAGTATACATATCTTTTATTCTTTTGTTTCGCATACAATTGGTCTGTTTTCTGTTCCTGCACTAGACTGAACTAGAACTCTCTTTCTCGCTTTCTACAAATATCAAACATATACCTATCTCACTTTAAGTTCTAAAAGTGTATACTAGTTCAGCCACAGAAAACAGACCTAT